TTTTGATTTACCAAAATTATTATAATTTTTTACTACAAATATATTCAGACGTTTTTAATATATGTATCTTATTCAAATCTCACATTTTTCAAATTCAATGCTCTTCAAATTTTATGGGATAAAAACCTAAAAAATTGTAAATTTAAAGAGATACATAAAAATTTAGTTAAGAAAGAGAAAAAGGATCAATTTAGTTACTTAAAAAAATGACTTCACAAAATTTAAAGAGATACATAAAGATTTAGTTAGGAAAGAGAAAAAAGATCAATTTAGTTACCTATAAATATGGCTTGACAATATCAAAATATCCAAATTTTGTACCATTAATCACGGATATGTTTTTATTTGTCACTTGTAATAGTAAGTCAACCATTTATTTTTCAAATCAAAGTTACTATTTATGTATTTTTCTAACAACCTTTTTATATTATTACTATAAATATAGATATGACAGGGCAACCCGCTAAGTGTTAAAGCTGTCTCACTAACAATTTGTGTTTCACTAATAATCCCATAATTGACTAGGATGTGTATGTGTGTGACTGTGCATGTGTTAGCACACACAGAAGGCAGAGTGTGTGTACGATATCATGGAGGGGACCAAAGATATTAAATGCTGTTGTAATGAGGGGGGTTAATGAAAGTTGGAAAGGATTTGATGAGAGGACAATTAGGACCACGCAATCTGAGCTTTAGAAAAAAGGCCTAAGCCCACCCTACTATCTTTTTTTTTTCTTTAAGCCTAACAATCTTGAGTGGTCTTTTTCTCCATTTGTCCCCTTTCCTAATCCATCCTTTAAGAGAGGTTTTACATTCATTACCTCGATCAAGATTTCTTCTTTATTTTCTATTAACAGATAATTGTCGCTTCATAAATTTGTGGTTGAGTAAGTTAAGTTTATCAAAATTTAGATCAGATGCATGAAGTATTACTCTTTTGGGATATGGACCGAGACACAAATCGAATGAATTTGTGTTTCATAAGATTTGATAATTTTTTCCCTGTACCCACGCTTGAAACTTCGATTTAAATGTTTAAATATGAGAAATAAACAATTTTTTTAAATGAGCTCCAAGCATTAGTTAGTGGTCTGTGCTCTTGTATGGTACAAGTACGATTTTGTACCTTTATTATACAGCATAAAAATAAAGGGGTAACTACAAGTAAGTACCCTTGAAGTTTTATCTAATTGCTATAAAGCCTAGTTTGTGTTTGAAAATTACANAGTTGTAAACTATGTAAGTTCAGGATATTCGGCTATTCCTTATTTTCCTTTAATCTAGCATTCAGTCAAGGAAATTATAAAGCGCTCTTATTATTTTTTACTGTTAAAAGTAGAATACTCAGCATTTCAATCTGATTGTATATATTTCTATTTATAAAAGCAATTTATTGGAAATTATATTATTTTGAGGCATAACTTTATTTTATGTTTTTGTATTTATCCTATATCTGCACATATGATAAAGTCCTTATATCATTATTAACTATGAGGCATGGTTACGCATATGATGACAATCATGGAATGTGTCTTTTAATGCTGTGATTTTAAATAAGTTCCAAGTCGATGGGTGTTTCGAGACATGACATCGAATAATCCGGTAAGACTTGTGCATATGATGTATGCTCATCGGATGAGAATGTTGCATTCCATCAACATTAGCGTGTGACGCGAATGCATATATGCGGGTGCTTGTTGGAGAAAAAGTTCACTGAACATCACCCGATGAAAATTCTTAGCTGGAAGTTTTAACCGTCGAATAAGAATTTTCATATTGCAATAGTACATGACTAATCCTATGACTTGAGGCACGATAGTAATCTTGTGCATGTTGTGTTTTACTTTGATTTATCTTTTGATTGCTGGACAATCATAAAAGGGATATTTTGGTTATTGTATTAATATGTATGGAGGTTTATCTGTGGCCAACAAAGAATTCGACACTTATATTGATAGGTGAATTTCCTATGTTTTTCATAGCTTGTGATTCAAAGATCTTGGCCAAGGCAGGATGAATATGGATTCATAAAGGAATCACTAAACTTGAAATGAAATCATAGTTATTAAATCAATTGGGTTTTGACTTATAAATCCATGCCCAAGATTTAATCGGGAAATTAGTTGTCGAAAGGATTTTACATGTATGCACTTGCAATTGAAAATGTTTACTCGCTATTTCACTTAACACTAGATGATCATGCTACTTGCTAGATGTTACCATGATTTGTGGGTTCTTGAAATAAGGAGTTAATTTCAAGAATACAAATTAATTAGATTAATTTAAATTACAAACGAGTTGTAAACCCACTACTAGTGTTAATTGTGAACCTAAAAGGCTCACACCAAATTTTGGATGATGACTATTTTGAAATTGGTATTTCCAATAGTTGGATTAATTGACAAAATTTAATTAAATAAATTGATTATTTAATTAAATCTAATTTTGATTAGATGTTAATTAAAGGAATAAAATAACTTAATCAATTGGATTGATTAATTAGGCTTTGGATATTAATTAAGTAATTATTAGAATTACTCAATTAATAGTTGAATTTTCAAAATTCAAATCCAAATAATAATATGATTATAAAAAGAGGAGATTTTATAAAGATATTGGGAGCTAAAGATATTTTAACAAATCATATTGAAAATATTTCATAAATTATTTGTTATTATTAATCTTTAATTTAGATTAAAGATTAAATATTAATAAAAATAAAATAATTATGGTAGATGGGAGTTGTTACCCACTCTATATATTTATTTTTATTTTTAGTATTAATAAAGTTGGGTAAAAATAGTCTTGCCAAGATTTCATTTTTATATGAAAATGGTTTTACCCAACATTACATTTTTTATACATAAACTTTTAGTATAAATACATACATATGTGATGTATGAATGTAATGAATTGAAGTTTTGCACTTTGAGAAAGTGGAAAAGGAAAAATTATCTCTCCCATTCTTGCAAGAATTGTTCTTTAAGAAAATAAATAAAAATATCTTCTTTTAAATTTCAATTCCAAATAACAATTGAATACTGGAAAATTTCTAATAGCGAAGAAATTGTTCTCGGAGTCGAAATCCAAATGAGTGGACTTGATTAGAAGGGAGACACTTGGATCCCTTATGAAGTAAGAAGACGGTGATAGCCATATAACCGAGAATTGATTTTCTCTTCATCGTCACTATTTGGAGAAAATTAAAGGTAATTTTCAAAATTCTCTACAAATCAAAATTCGTATTTTTACGTAATTTTAAAAGATGCTGATCATTTTATTCGTTATATGTACTTATGGATTAAGTATTTATTTGATAAATGATAATTATATTGTATAATTTCCGCTGCGATTTTAATTCGTACGGTATAGCGAACCCAACATGTACAACCACTCGCCTCGAGGTAATTGATCATGCTCTCAATACTATGCCACAATGGTTTTATTGTATGCATAATGCAACAATTACATTTTACAGCCCATATATATATAAATATATATATATATAGGGGACGGATCAAATGCGGACAGCTCTTAAAATGAGGACAGCTCCTTGCAACTACAGACAACTACAGATAACTAACCTTGCAACTAGAGAAAATTAACATTGCAACAAGACAGAACTAACCTTGCAACTACAGATAACTAACCTTGCAACCAAAGACAACTAACTTTGCAACTAAAGACAACTAACCTTGCAACTACAGACAACTAACCTTGCAAACTGAATACAACTAAACATTGCAAATAAAAACAACTAACCATGCAACAAGATAGACCTAACTTTTACGGTTGAACATCTTTTTTCCATTGCAGGGTTGCAGCAACAGTGTGGAAATTGGCTCCACTCAATTGGGTAGGTCCGCAGGGCAATGAATCCTTTAAATCGTGGTGGTGGCAAATTTGCTAACTTGACAATACTGAGATATCCGAAGCACGCATCCAACTTTCTACATATATTATGTGGTGGCTTTGAAAGTCTCTGAATCTTTGGGTCTTTGAGGGAGTTCGTTGACTGGCCCACATCATTGTCCAAGGGGCTGTCAAGGATTGAGAGGGGTTCCTTAAGCTCTGTTAGAATATCACTTGTGAGTTATCCCACATCATCCATACATAAAAAATAGACCCACCTTATAAGTCTTAATGGGCTACTCCTCCTTCCACCAATTGGTTTTGGGATAAAACCCCACTTGGGCTTCATATGAGTTTTCCCCGTTCATGGTGAGCTTCATGTTTAGTGGACCCACGCCCGTTTTTTTCCCAGTTTCTGTCATGGTATCAGAGCTGGTTCTATTGGTGACCGTACCATGACGTACCCGTCACCCAATCGAGTTGGATTTGGGCTTTCGAAGGACTCACAAGTGAGGGGGCGTGTTAGAATATCACTTGTGAATTGTTGCACATCATCCATATATAAAAAATAGACACATCTTATAAGTCTAATGTGTTACTCCTCCTTCCACCAATTGGTTTTGGGAAAGAACCACACTTGGACTTCATATGGGTTTTCCCCGTTCATGGTGCGCTTCATGTTTAGTGGGCCCGCACCCGTTTTTCCCCCAGTTTCTGTCAAGCTCAACTCGAGATAGTTTGTTGTTGGTGCCTTGGTTGTATTGTGTTTTTATTTGTTTTCCTTTAGACTATCTTTTGGTTTTTTCTGTTTGATTTATTCGGTTATTGTTCTTAACTCTAAGGGTAAAGGTTCGGTTGAGTGTAACTGCTTTGTCCTTATTTCGGTGATTAGAGGTCGGTTATGTTGGTTGTGTTCTAGCCCACCCTTGCGTGGTGCTTTGAGTTCTCGGCTATCAGGGTTGTATGAATCTTTTATTATTATGTTATGAGAATTGTCTANAATAATTAATAAACAAGATATTTTGATATAAGATGTTTTGATTTGGATTTAAGATATTTTCATTTGGATTTTTTAAAAAATTCTCAACAATAATGTCACTTGTTTTCCCCCTTAAAATAAATAAATAAATAAATAAAAAATGTGGCAGCGCTAACAACTTTTATAATTCTGTCGGTGGGTCACTGTATAGTCACTACTCATTACTCACTCAGAAGACAACATTGAACTCAAACATTGAATATGCTTCGAGTAATGGGAGCGAGACTCTTCAAATTGGAAGCCATGGTCAAACTCTTGTTGTCACCCTTTTCTGTTATGTTTTTCGCCAGATTCTCAGCTTGTGTGGTTGCACTTCTTGTGCTCATATGGGCTCTTCACTTCAGAAACAGCTTTATTCCTCACAACCCATCTCAACAAGGCCTCATTTATGCTGTAAACAATCATCATTCTCTTTGTAATTTGAACTTTGATGGAAAATTATAATTTGTTTTCATGCGTGTAAGTGGAAATGGAGGAAATTATGAAATTCCTTTATTTTTATTTCCTGAGCAGGTGTTGCATCCTTTGCTAATGGTGATTGGTTTCATCCTCATTAGTGGAGAAGGTCAGAAGTTAAATGCAACTGTCAGGGCAAGAAAATAAGTTGGTTTGAATTATTTATTATTTTTCATAATGGTTTTTCCTTTTTTTTTCGTATTTTTTTGGACTGTTGCAGCAATTTTGGTGCACAGATGGTTGCCTGGTTCAAGAAATTCTAAGAAATTGGTGCACCTTTGCCTCCAAGGTGTTGCTTTGTCTTGTGGATTTTTTGGGATTTGGACCAAATTTCACGGGGAAGATGGAATTGTGGCTAATTTTTTCAGTTTGCATTCTTGGATGGGTTTGGTTTGTATTGCCATGTTTGGGGCTCAGGTTAGTTCTAATAGCTTTGCAGATAGTACACCTTGCTTTGTGCTTGTTGCGTATGGTGAAGTGGGGTTGTGAATAATTGAAAATTTATAGGTAATTATATTACAAATTCAACATTACTTTTGTCAAATTCATTAAAACTCCAGTTTTCTTTCAAAGAGAACTCTTAGATGTCAAAGATACCCTGTGTACATGGTGAAATTTAGTAAAATAGAAGCAAATGTGCAGGTTTTTTGTAATTTTGAAAGATGAGATGAATTTTATCTTCATTATTTTTGAGGTTTATAGCACAGGCGGCCGTGGTTGGTTTAGCTTATATTGGGGATGCGCAATATATATTAATCATTGCTACCTAGCCAATTACTATTAAGCCATCTTAAATAATTCATTAGTTGTTATCTAGCTAGTCATTAAATCTGGTGGCTATGTTACTTGCTACTTAACTTTTAAAAAGACGAATCTAAGAAAGTTTTGGTAAACACTTAAAAAACTATGACAAATCATTTGGTTGAAAAGGAAAAAGGGGTCAAAAAGAATAAAAAAAAAAAAGAAAGAAAAAATCATGTGTGAACTTTTAATGGTGATTATGCATACTATAAGAATCTTATGTAAGAAAAATTAATTTTGTACTAATTTTATGTTTCCATTTTTATAAGTAGAAGACATAGAATAAAATCTCAAAAACCAATTTATAGGTTGAATGAAAAAGTAATTATATGTTCAAATGTGAGGAAGTTGAGTTCATGTTACTCAAAATTGTGTTGAAGTAACTCGTTGGATTCTCTAGCGTTCGGTTTTCAGAAACACTCGGGAGAACTAAATGAACTATAATCATGCAGAACTCTAATAGGGTTCGTTGAAATGAGTAGGATTCAACACCTGCTCTTGCCGAAAAAATCTAACTCAGTTTAGGACCATCGAGCACACCTTGAAATGTGACTTTTGACACAATAAACCCTTGGAGATATCTAAGAACATCTATAAATACGTAAATAGATTTTAAGATCTCTTATGCATTATTTTTAAAGTTTATAAAGCATGTCGTGTTCTTTGTGTTCATTTATATCTTGATAGTCCCGAAAGTTGAGTATTGTTCGTTGAAATCTTGTGTATTTGAGTTGCGACTATACACAAGATGCAAGTGGTTGTATGCTGGATGGGTTATCCGTGCACCCAGCGTAATATATGAGGCCTCGTCTTTGTTTCTTTTGTTCGATTTTCCATCTAATTTCTTAGCCATTCTGTCACATTCACAAACAAAAACCTTAAGATGAAATATTGAGGGTTCAAAAGATGGCACTGAAGGAAACAAAATGTCTTCATTATGTGCTCAAAAAAGTCTTACTCTGACTACTAATCCATTAACTCCAATGGTGGCGGGAAGGATGCTTTGGAGTTTTTATTAGTTTACTCAATACAAGAATTTCTTGATAAAATTCCAATGGAAATATATTCAAATAGAATTCCAACGGCAATTCCAATGTATATTTTTCAATGCTATTATTTCCGTTGGAATTTTTCAGTGGATTCCAACGGAAATTCCAACAAAAATATTTCATTGGAATTTTCGTTGGATTTTAACGATTCCAACGGCAAATTTTCCAACGGGGTGGAAATAAAGATTCCAACGGAAATTTCATGTTCCATCGGAATTATTCCTACAGTGTTGGAAATATATAACCTTTGGAATCATCAAGTTTCATCTAAAATTCTAATGAAAAACACATTCTAATGGAATATTTTCATTGGAATTTCGGTTGAAATCATTCCAATGGAAGCTATACCATTGGAATATCCGTTGGAACTTCCATTGGAATAAATTACCAAAGGATTTTCTGTTAGAATATAACAATTTTCTTGTAGCGACTCTTGCACAAAAATTGACAATAGTGTTTATTAATTTTTAAGAACAAAAAATCCTACATTCATCATTTAGTTTATATTTTCATACATGATTTTAATATTTTTCCCTTCATGCTGCTATAATTAGTCGTTTCTTTAAAACATAAATTCTTTCAAATGGAGGAATATATATATATATATATATTTTAGTGTGAGAACCGTGATGCTATTTTAATATTACATTGTGCTATGATTTTCACAAATGCTAATATAAATTGCGTTGCTATTTTTTAGTCAAATACATCATGATTAAAAATAGCATTAAAACACAATCATCATAGCACTATGTACAATTAAAAATAGCGGTTCTCACGGTTCTCATACTACCACTTGGTTCTCATTTGAACCTCATCCTATATATATATATATATAAAGGTAAAATGTAACTTGCCCATATAGATAAACATACACGTGCAGGTGGGTTTCTTATACATCTGATTTGAAGCAATGTTAAAGCTTGCTACAATCTATGACTTTCACATATAAGATGAATTGACATTAAGTTCAAAATTATGGTGTGCAGTGGCTGTTTGGATTTCTGAGCTTTTGGCACAAAGGAGAGGTACGAATGACAAGGCTAAGGGTACTACCTTGGCATGTATTCCTCGGTTTATACACTTATGGTCTGGCTGTGGCAACTGCCGAGACAGGGCTTCTTGAAAAGTTGACATTCTTACAAGCCAGAGGTAATGTCTTAAAACGATGTCCGGAATCACTCTTAGTGAATGGTTTAGGGCTTTGTTTGGCTTTTCTGAGCAGTTTTGTGATATTAGCTGCAGTTTCTCCAAAATACCAAAATTCAAAATTTAATATTACATATTCGGATGGTAAGTACTCATCTCGCTAGAAAACGCGTATTCGTATGTAAATATATTGCCAATAATTTGTATGATTTTGTCCTTGTTTTCATTTAAAAATTTTTGTTCCACTGCCTTTCAGTGTACATATGAGAAGTATGTATGATTTGGTGTTGTAAAGAGTGATAAGGAAAAATGGGACATGCAGGGTTTTAATATTTTGCATCCCTTCAGTGATGGCGAAAAGGGGTCCAGGAGAACACAAGGTTTTTGAAACGCTATTTTACACGTTCAGTACATTTTTTTTAACAAAAATGAAATGAAATAAATAAACTGTTACATTTTTAAAAATAAAACTATATAAAAATCTTGTATAAACTAGTCATAAAACAAAAAATGTTGCAATCTAAAAATCAATGACTAAATAAACTAAAAGGAACTAGACTATAAAATTAGTATATTTACAATTAAAATAAATTATTTGTAAGAATAAAAATAAAATAAAGTTTGAAGGTACATCTGTAATTTTCTCAAATTGAAATTGATAAAATTTTTAGTTCAGTCAAGGTGATCTTGTGCTTGTAAACTGTTCGATCGGTCTTTTTTCTGTGCTTCAAGTCTCATTGGATTTGTAATTGCCTTTAGCTTATGTCTACGAAATTTGGTTGTTTGGTTCTAGGTCACCGAGTGTGTGGTTCTTCTTATTGTATTTTGTGTTGTTTTGTCAATTTTTTCTTGTGTGTGCAAACTCTTTTTGTTATTGAGTTCTATCTATGGTTTCGCCCTTTAGCTCTCTCTCTCTCTTCCTTTTTCTAAACTGAATTGCTATTCACCGCTCGCCTATTACTACGTACCCCCTCTGATTTACGTTTTCGCCCTTTAGCTCTCTCTCTCTTCCTCTTTCTAAACTCTCGTTCCGTTTCGAACTCTCCGGCTCTTTCACGCCTCGTTTTACGTCCAAAAAAAATCCGAAAAAATGTCACTACCTCGTAAAGGCTTAGGCAAGAGATTCATGATTCCCCCGATATGTTTTTTTTCTTTCTTCGTAATTGATTTTAAAAAAATTTTGACGTTTTTTTACCTCTGTCCGGTCGGCAATGCCTGTAGGCGGCGGCGGTGTCCGGCTGCCGATCTCGGATGGCAAAGGCGCAACCGGTATCTAGGGTTCGATTGCACCGAATGCGTCCGGCAATTACTGCTGGACGCGCGCACCGCGTGCGTTTTGTCCGTCCGGTCAGACGGCGGCCGTCCGACTACCGGATGGACGGCATAATTTTATTTTATTTTATTTTTTGTAAGAAAAAATTGTAAAAAATAGAATTGACTTAATTTTTTGATTTAGTTAATAATTTAGATAATTTTTTGTTTACTAGTTATTAATAATATAAATTAGTAGATAAATTTAATTAGATTGAAATAATGATGAATTAATTTATAATAATAAAAAAAAATACTTGTAATATGTGTAATAAAATGGTTTGCTGAGTGATTATTAGTTTTACAGAATTAAAAAATGATATAAGTCAAAAACATTGTATAATTTTTTAATTAATTAGTTGTATAATTATGATGTATAATTAATTAGTTGAAAATTGATTAGTTTCACAAAAATTAATTTTTTAATCCTTTTTAGGAAAATTATTACTTGTAGTATTTTATAATGCATTTTAGAAAATAGTAATAATTAATAACATTATTTATGAGTAATTATATATTATTAATAAATTAAATTGTTAATTGAAACGAACTTATAATATTTAATAAAATTTATGAAATTTAAAAAATTATTTATTGTTTATTAATTATTCGTTTACATTATTGATTTTAGACTGCTGGTAGACCTGCGCTACGAGCCACCGATGAAGAGGTTGCCGAGATGTTAGGTTCTGGACCCCGACACACGAGTAGTCGGTGTGTAAATGCTTCCGTTCGTCGTGCTAGAGATGTGGAGTTGATACAGCAGGCTTGCATGAGACAGACTGGTCGCACGGACCAGGTTGGCAGTTTGAGAGTCCCCGCTCCGGTTCAGCAGCACCGTTTATTGGTGGCTGACGGTTCGGTACCGACTGGTCAGCAGGTTTATGAGTCGACATCTTCGACTGAGGCTGAGGACGATGACTATGACTCTCCTCCCCCACAGGTTTCTGCACGCCGTGTTCTCCACGACAGGCTAGGGGTAATTTTGTGAGCACTGGATTCTCAGGTAAATAATTTACGTACTTATCGTTGTTTAGCATTAATTAATTTAATTTAATAATACATATCATCGATACAATCAGTCACAATATGACGTATATGTATGTTCTAATCTAATGCAGGTACTAGCAAACGATCTAGGAGCGAGGATGCCTGGATCGTTAGAGCCCTAGTGCCCGGTGGCCCCATTGATGGGAGTGTCACCTCTAGCTTTTTAGGGTACGTAACCTTCCGCATTTGGAATGAAGAGCTTAGAGGCATTCTGAAGTGCCAAAAAGAATGGGTGCACATGACAAGTTGAGGATTTAGCTCTCACGTATGGATCGCGCTCCACGCGATCTTATTCGCAAGACCGGGATGTCACATTTGGTGGAGTCCATGCACGGCCACGTGGACACTGCACTTATTTATGCGTTTGTGGAGCGCTGGCAGCCGGATACTAACTCGTTTCACCTACTTTTTGGTGAAATCAGTATCATGTTGCACGATGTTCGGGCCATTTGGGGCGTTCCTGTGGAGGGAGCCATGGTCAATATGGACCATGGAGATGTTGTCAGTCACGAAGACTGACCTAATGAGCTCGTTTTGGCAGCGTGGTTCGGTGACAGTTGCTGCCATTTTGGATGCATTTTAGGGTAAAGGTCGGTTGCCTGTGGACGAGGCTACTGCCTGGATGTGGGTGATGCTATCTACCACCTTGTTCGTTGACAAGAGTGGTAGCAGGGTGAGTCACAAACTTTTGCACGAGGTGATGCACGACTTTTATATTATTGGGTCTTACTCCTGGGGCTCGGCTGCACTGGCTTACATGTATAGACAGTTAGGTATTGCTAGCAGAGGGGACGCACCTGGGCTGTCTGGCTACATGACTCTTCTACAGTCATGGATATATGAGTACTTCCTGTGCTTCCGACCCCAGCGAGAGCGACTGACCTTCGGTCCTGACTGTGTCGCACGATCTCGCTCGTGGAGCGTAGGGGTGACGGAGAGGAATAATCATCGTCTGAAATCTCTCCGTCGGCGTCTTGACACTCTCATCACCTCCGATGTACATTAAGTTACTTTATTTAAATTTATTTAAATTTTACTATTCAAAATAATTAAATTGTTTTAATAAATATTTTTATGCAATTGTGAACAGGTGCACTGGTTGCCATACGGCCGAAACCCAGATTCAATAGAGCGTAGGACCCTTTATTGCGGATACCTTAGGTACTGCGATATTGTGGAGTCGTACTTGCTTGTGCGGTTTTTGCGTCAGCTGGGTTTCGTCCAGACTATCCTTCCCCCCATGATCCGTCCATTCAATGCAGTATGTGCTTGGGAGTCTAGGCTCTACAAAGTTGAGCATGCTAACACTGCTGTAGAAGGTTTGTGGCATCAGTTTCTGACGGTGGCCTGCGCCCACACCAGTCTGATGACCCCCACCACACGTGATTTAGGGGAGGCTGATCAGCACTATTCGGAGTGGTACGTTCAGGTTTCCCATCCTATTCTTTTGGGTGAGGCTTTACCCGACGAGAAAGCGATCCCTACGCGCGCCAATTCCGATTATGTAAGTCGTTTACTGAATTTTAGTTTATATTCTTTCAATACATTTTTTTAATATATATGTGATCATATATTTTAATTCTTCTATTTTTTGTAGTGGATAAATCGTGTTTTTGGTGTTACATTATACATGCAGCGGGATTTTGCGAGTTTTGATCCTGATTTGATGGCGCCTTATGTAGAAAAAATGGATCAAATTAAGTTGGATTTCGACAAAGCGAAGTGATGATGTAATGAATGTTGAATTTTCATTTTATTGTTAAACATTCGTAAGCTAACGATTATTAGTTATGTTATTACAGGCCCTTTTGGAAACACAACACTGCAAGCCTATTGTGGAATTGGAAGAAAATACAACTACGATAACAGAAGGTTTTGTGGGAGTCAGGGTGTGCCTGTTTGCTCTAATCCAAACAATTACATATTCTAGGATAGTTTGCACATGACGCAAAAAGCCTCGCTTCGAATCGTCATGATTCTCATTCAGCCTGCACTTTCTACACTAAACTGTGCAACATAATTACTTTGTATCTATTGTATGCACCAACCCAACCAATTCATATGTTAATAAAGTCATTACATATGGGGTTAATAACTTTTTCCCATCTGAACTTTCACGGTTTTGGCGCATCACTATATGAACTTTTTTTTTTAACAAACCACCATCTCAACTATACGGGTTTGTCAAATTACCCCCTAAACTAAATAAAAAAAGTGGTTTTGACGAAAAAAAGTTGATTTTTAAGGGCATATTTGAAATTTCGTATAATTTTTAGGAAAAAAAATGAAAAAAAATGGTCGGCTTCTTGTTGCTGCACGGCCTCCGCCTCAGCAACCCCCACGTCCGCCGCGTCCTCGGCTCCATCTCCGCCACCGCTGCCACGTCGTTCTTCCTCAAGACGACGACCTCCATTAAAAATGGAGGCGCGACCGCCGTGAGCTTCAAGGACATGAGGGACACGCTCCTCAATTTCTCTGGCCTACTGCCATTCCCATCGTCCGACATGGTGGCGCTGCTGCTCGATCGGGAATCCACCGACTACAAGATCTTTCAAGAATATTTTCACAATGTATTAAATTTAGACGGAATAATTGTGGACACATTCGAGAGTTTGGAGGTGATGTCGTGGGCCCCACAGGTGGCGGTGAGGGCGAGCGTGCCGATGTTGTTGTGGCCGCTGTACACGGAGCATAAGCTGAATCGGGCGGTGTTGGTGGAGGAGGTCCCGTTGAGAATGGAGATGGCGGAGGATGGGTTAATTTTTGGCGGCGGAGGAGGTGGACCGGCGGTTGAGGGAGCTGATGGGGGAGGCGGAGGAGGTGAAGAAGGTGGTGGAGCAGAGCTTGGAGGCGGCGGTAGCCATGGCAGAAGGAGGTTCACCAAGCCAGCCGACGTTGGGGGAGGCGGCGGTGACGTTAGCGAAGGTGAACCCGAGGGTGCCTCCGGCGAGCGGCAGCTCACCAAGCCGGCCGAGGAAGGCGGTGGTGATGGTGATCTCGCGGAGCCCATCGCATGTTGATGTTTTCTTTCTTAATTTTTTTTTGAAAAAAATATATGAAATTCATTAAATGCCTTCACAAAAATTCATTTTTTCATTTTTTTTATATTTTTTTAAGTGAAAACCACTTTTGTATCCGGTTTATGGGGCACTTTGATGTAGGGAAGCATACGAATTGGAAAGATAAACGAGATACTCTCTCGTAAAACACACAAAACTCACAATATCTTATTCAATCTCAAAATTCACCAAACAATAAAGCAGGAGAGTCCTTTATATAAGACTCTCAAAACTAATAATCCTAACTTATTCTCTAAGGTAACTACTAATTATTAATTATTATTATTATTATTATTATTATTATTATTATTATTATTATTATTATTCTACACCATTCTCCCCCGGTTCGGAAGGCTTCGCCTCGAAGCCGACGCGCTCCCGTGGCTGGTGTGGAGGCGAACCCATGGTATTAATCCCCGTCGTTTTCCCCAGTCGAACACGAAGGTTGAATGTCACACCTCCATGGTATTACCCCCTTGAAATTCATAGAAAGACATATATGCAGCAGCCACACACAGAATTTTGAAGTCACCGTGGTGACCAAAAAACAACATCTGTTTGCAAGGCCGCAACAAATTCCCGTGAGAGAAAAGCTCGGGCATGTGCAACAGAAGAACTACCAATTCTTCTAACAACTGAATTTCGATACTCAAAACATGATGGAATTCCTCCGGCCCCGGAGGCTCCTCATCGAAAATCGGCAGACCGTCGTAGAGACAGTCCACTTCGCCGGTAAAATGCTCCTCCACCTCCTCGGGTCCTTCATCAAACACCGGCGAACCATCGAACAATGGCCCGTCAACTTGCTCTTCGTCAAATTTGGGGATGTCAACGCGAAACGGATCCTCCCATCGACCATATTCTCGATCACATTCCCTATCGCGTCGGGCACGATCTCCGCCGGCGACGGCAGCCTCCTCGAGCATGCCTCTATCGTCGCGTTGATCGTCGCCGTCCACGAAGACCGGGCCCCGTCGCCGCATGTCACGGCTGCCGTATGCAGCAAAGGGGTCAGCCTCAATGTGCGGGGATGAAAAATCGTAGAAGGGATTCACCTTCGAGACTGTCTCCTCGCCGTCTTCATCGTCGGACGGTGGTTGTGGAGATCCCCGGCGGAGCGCCCCGCCTGGACCACGGCATCCACGTCCTCCGTGAATTCCCCGCACAGTTGCTGGCGTCACGGTACGTTTGCTTGTCCCGAACCATGGTACGGATAGTTAGACGTATGTCCCCGATCTTCGAGGACAGATCTGCAATCTGACGACCCATCGTCTCGAGCTCGCGGCCAAACCACTCGGTCCGACGGCTCAGGTTGTAGATGGCGGAGACACGCCTGTTGTTTGCAGCATCATGTCTTCGCGACAGCATCGTGAATCGTGCTGACTTCTGAAACCAACTGATGTAGGGAAACGTACGAGTGAGAAAGATAAACGAGATACTCTCTCGTAAAACACACAAAACTCACAATATCTAATTTAATCTCAAAATTCACCAAATAACAATAAAGCAGGAGAGTCCTTTATACAAGACTCTCAAAACTAATAACCCTAACTTGTTCACTAAGGTAACTACTAATTATTAAATAATAATAATAATAATAATAATAATAATAATTATTATTATTATTATTATTATTATTATTATTATTATTATTATTATTATTATTCTACACCACACTTTGACAAACCCATATAATTTATATGGTGGTTTATGAAAAAAAAAATAATTTATATAGTGATGCGCAAAACCGCGAAACTATACATATGTCATTTAATATTTACTAGATAGCTAGATGCTACAAATTAAGCGGCGTCAAATACACAAGATCTAAGAATAACATTAGTTAATCCAAGAAGGGGGGTCATTTAATAGTGAGAAAGGGGATCGTATGCTATTTTTGTCTCTTCTGTATTTTCTAATGGATGTAATATTTTTTATTTATTATTCATTCAAAAGTTGTCTGTGAATTCGAAATTTACAAATACATATTGACGTGCAATTTAGTTCTTCATTCAAATGTTGTACATTGTTCAATAAATCATGGTCTCACAGACGTGCAATTTCTAGGAAATAAAAGCATTCGTCTAGTTGACTTAATTTTTATGCAGCGAAATGGAATTTCAAGGATGATAGACAGCATTTTGTAGTTTAAATAAATACTAATGATTAATTAACAATTTATGGTATTCTTATATTTAATTTGTAGGCGATAGCAAATATGCTACAATTGATTCATATATATATTTTTCATACCCAAAATATAATATATTATAATTCAAATTGTAATTCGAATTATGAATATTGAAATCGAATCAATATTTTATAACTTATGAAATCTCTCATAATTCAATTTTTATACTCTTGAAGAGTTGTAACATATGTAGTGCCTGAAGCATATAGTGTTCACTTAGAAATAAATTATTATAATTTGATGTTCCACTTATATATTTGATAATTAGCATGAATAATTGGATCATACTGGACAATTATTTATCATAATTTTCTCCAAAATGATGCGTGAAAAATAAAATATTTCCCATCTGCGATTTATTTTACTATACAACATTTTATATCACCACCAATTCTCTCGATTAATTGATTTTAAAATTCAATATATACATATTAATCTTATATATACACAATAAATAAATAAATAATTTAATTTGATACCCCAAAATATTAATAATATTATATCTTACACTATATTCACCACACAAATATATACATATAATTTAATTTTTAAAATAAAAATATTTAGAAAACAAATAAAAAAAAAGGTTGGGTACATTCTCGGGTCGACCGGATTTGACTAGGCTGCTTCTTGACCAGTCTGAATGGCCCATTCAGGTCGGGAGTCACCTCTAAATCGATCGAGTCCCAAGTCGACCTGCTAGGGTTATTTGGATTAAAAATTATTATTATTATTATCCCCTCTATATATAATTTCAAAATAGGTTGAGCTTACATGACAAACTCTCACGCTTCAGAATCTTATTTGGCAAAAAATCATGATTGATTTTTTCCTTCTTTGCTTCTACAATTAGTTATCATAAATTATTTTATATTTCTTTTTCCTATATTACCATACATTACATTTCATTTTCTTATTTAATTCATTCATTAGTTATTATAAATGTTTTTTCTTCTTATTTTAAGATTTTATAACTTTTTTGTTTGTATTTTATTTTTTATATATGATATATCAAATTAACTATCTTTTAACGACTTTCAATTTGACATCCATATTATATATATAATAAAAAATAGTAATATATGTTCTTATAAATAAAGTTTAAGTTTATTTATAAAGTAAATTAAAAGATATCAAATCAAATTATAAATTATTTTATAAAGTAACAGAAATTGGTATGTATTTTTTTTTTAAATGATACTTATTTCAAATCTAATTGTATGTTATCAATCTAATAAAAATAAATAATTATTTATCTAAATTCTAAAATTATATATAAAGTTAGAAAACTGTGAAACACAACGGATACTACACTTGATGTATTAGGAATCTAATTAAGTAAAAAATAATTTATTTTGCTTAATATTAAACAAACATATTTCTGCACTTATGCATATACATATCACCATATTATTTCTATTTATTTAAGATATAATTTTTTTTTACGTAATAATAGTAAATAATATTGATAGTTTTATATGATATAAGTAAAAAAATTCAATATGAGTTGACATTTTTATTTAATATACGAGTGTTTAATTATTATAATTAAAAAAATATAATTTAAAAATTTAATTAAAAGCTAAAGTAATGTTTTATATAAAATTAAATTATTTTAGTTTAAAAAAATTAATATTTTTTGCATATGCTTCCTAATTTAATACTCGTGTATTTACACGAGTATTATACTAGTTATTATTATTATGGCTGCTGCTTAGGGTACGCAAAATACATGCATTATTCGTGTTAGGATTTTGTTGGGGACCAGCCAAACTTTACAACCTCTCATCTTTTTGTCACATATATGAAGTAACGATGTCGGATGGGAAAAGCAATAATGCTGGGGGAGGGGAAAAGTCAAATATCCACTATTAAGCATATACTTATGGGGTAAACCTACTTTATATATGTGCAACATTCCAACCAAGCAAAGCCAAGAATTATATCCTAGTTTACTCTTTTGTTTTCTCATCAACTTGATACAAATAACAAACTACTCAATTTTTGCACCAAAAGGAAAAAAAAAAAATGATCCCATTTTTTTCCTATTTGTTCCCTCAGTTAGGTTCCTGCATACCCTGTTAATAACATGAGGAATTTCCCAATCGAGTCCTTTCTTTTGTCAAATTGGAAATAACGTCACGGCATTGTGTGATGGCGTGATTCTTGAGTTTGTCATTTTGTTCTATTATTCATTTTTAATAAAATTTATAACCACTGCCATTTGAGTGTTGAATGAACTCTGAAACTCAACAGAATAATTTAAACTACATCTAAAAACAAACCATTCTCGATAGTTGGGGCACGAAACCAACTAACATTGTGAGGATGCGTAACTCAACCGTGACCATGCACAAAAGACATTTTTTTTCAAATTAGTATGATTTTGGTAGGTATCTATTACTATATAAAATACAGAAAAGAAAAAATGTTTGAAAAAATATTTTAATTTCCCGTTTAAAAGCTGTTTCTCCCCCCCCCCTAAAGTTTAATTTGAATTTTTTTCATGCAGGTATTTGAATTGTTTTTATTCCATGCATGCACGTTTTCAGGTTTTTTGGGATTTAAATTTCATTTGTATATATATATNTATATATATATATATATATAAAAGATTTTGTTTGACTAAACTCACCTATCTACAAATCACATTTTCATATGTCAATCGATCTGTTTTTTATTTCCTGTTTTTTAGTTAATCAAGCCGAGTTTAAATTATAGTATCATCCATCAAATGAGTAATTGTTTAAGATAATTAGCCGTGAAAAAAGGAAACGAGTTTGTAATTTATTTGGTTAAATTCAGTTTTTGAGTTAATTCTTCTCTTATGAACACGTTTTTGCGGACGGATGTTGCGGTATTGCAGGAGAAGATGATTTAGATATATACAAATCCATTATCATGAAAACCTTCTTTTTTTATTAATCTTTTTACACGTGACAATTTTTTTGTTAAACTTTTTACACTAATCATGGTAACAATTTTTAAAATGGGAATGCTATAATAAAAAATAAAAATACAAAATTTAATCTTTAATGAAAAATTAATTTATAAGTTTTTATAACATATATATAAATCGCATATTTCAATAGAAAAATATTATTTTTTTAACATATAGTTATGCAATATATACAACTTAAATAATAATTAAAAAAACAAATACATTGTAAAGAGTTCATTTCAAAGTTAAACAGATAAAGTAATCAAATTGGTCGAGACTAATGATAAAGGTATATATTCCATATTATGTTTTCATCGATTTATTATCTTTAAAAATACAATTATGCTGGATATATTATCCATATAAATATAATAAATCTACCCTAAAAACGATGAAGAGGACTTCGCGATAACAAAACTTAATTATTTGGAATGTGCATCTTTTTATATACATATAAATAAAAAGCCAACGGTTCACCATTATACAAATCATATAGAGATCTTTTTACTTAGGTTTATTGTTTTTTACTCCACACGTATAAACTTAATTTAATCTAAATTTCTTTTTATTAAAAAGAGGTAAAATAACATTTGGTTTCCCGCCTAAACTATTTAAGTAATATTTTTTGCCAAAATTTGAAAAAATCCCGTCTAAATTAATGTACAGAATCATTATGGTCAGATATTGCTGCTATTGCCTTTATTAGTTGCATAATTTAAATTTGGAATATAATATATTGACAAAACTTGCAGCTATTACCTTTATTAGTTACATGGTTTAAATTTAGAATATAATATATTACAAAAAAATAAAAAGATTTTTATTTAAATTTAAAAATAAAAAATAATTGTTCATAACTTACGGGTCAATATTTACTTGGACGTAAATGAAAGAGTCAATTATATAACTTACGGGTCAATATACTTGGACGTAAATGAAATAGTCAATTATTTATAATTTAATAAATTACTCAACTACTTAATTTTTTTTATTTTAATAGTTTATACAATAATAAATTATTTGAAGTAATGAAACAATATAAATTTTATATTTATACTTATTATTCACATAGACTGTTAAATATATGATAACATTTTACCAAAATAACTATTTTATGAAATCACATATAGTCAAATCGATTTTCTGAATAAAATTTTTGAAATGGTACTTATTTTTAAACGAATATAATGTAATTAATTATCAGTTACGTGCACCACACGAGTTGTATACTAATTTTAAATAGACATTTTTATGTGATTTTGCACAATTTAAACTTTATATAACACTTTCAATAAATTAATATAAGTAAATTGTATAACATATTGATTCTATATTTTTAATTTATAAATATTATTTAATAAGAATTTTTTTTTTGGTAAAATTTAATAAGAATTTTTAACTATAAATAGTAATGAATATCTCTTATCCGTGCACAGCACGGGACTCATACTAGTTATTTTGTTAGATTTTAGTAGTAATTTTTGCTTTCATATATAAATAAATGTTGAGTGGACATAGAGAAGCCAGTTAGCTGTATAATACCCCAACTGATTGGCTTATTTTTCCATTAATGGTACTCAAACACGTACCAGTTTCCCAACTTCTTTCTCCACTTATTACTAATGCTTGTATTAGTCAGCTTAAATTAACAACCATATTTTTTCAATTACGTACATTATATTTTTTTATATTAATATGTCTTATTTAAAAAAAATAAAAGTGTAATATTTCATTATATAAACATGCAATTTTTGGGTCTTAATGTCTAACAATTTAACAACAATATTTGTGTTATTTCAATAATTGCCTTCAAGTGTATTCTAGTTATGAAAACTAATTTTCTTTCTAATATACCAGTATGTTCAAATTATTATGCATTTAATATTTTATATATATTTGACAATCAACACAAGCCTTTTGGCCAAAAAGAAAATATGGCTCCACATTAAAATTTACAAAAGACCGGTGTAGGAAGTTTAATCTTAAAATTCATGTTTTTTCCATCTACAAGTCGTTCTATATTCATCTTCTATCGTTGTCTTTTTTCAGTCCATTTATAGTTTCTATACACAACTGGCGTTCCATAGTAACTGTTCATCCAACTGCATAAAAATAAAGCTGGCAAATTCAATCCTCTTGGATGAAAACTGACCACTAGAAAAACTGGTGGCTGCTGTAGCCCAAATAAGAAACTTTGCGCCAAAATAGTATTTATCGAACTAACTTCAAGTGTTTGTTTTTTCTTATTTATTTTCTATTTCTCGATGGAGGGTCTCTAAAGCTCCGAGAGAAGATAATGCTACTGATGTTGAGATGTGTTTAACATATTTGTCTTCACTTTGATTATTTTACAACTTCTATTTATCTCGTCTCAGGAACCATATCAAAGTGTTTTTCTTTTGAATGTTCTGTGGATTTTCTAAAGGAATTAAAGAAAGAAGAAAAAACTACTGTTTACTTGTTTTGCTGTATTTTTATGGATTGTTGGTGTGGGGAATGAGATATGGGTTTGAAGGGAAATGGGGAAAGGCCTTGCGAAGGTCCTGTTTGGATCAGTGCATGACTCTAAAATCCAGCATTTTCCCATCGATAAGACACCTACATGATTGTCAGATTAGGCTTTGTTGTTGCTGCTTCTATTGCAGCTTATGCAGTAAAGCAGATTAGTGTCAAGAATTCAAACCCAGCAGATAATTCTCTAAGTAAGCCAGCCCATTTCATTATCTGTTTTCCTTCCCCTTTTTTTGCCCAAGTTTCACTCCTTGTCTTTGTCAGTCCCTGTTTAGATTATCTTTTTAATTATAACATATAATTTGGCATGTTTTTTTCTGTTGAAATTGTTTGAATACCTATCTGTCAGTTCATATAAGTTGTTTAGAAATGCCAAAAAAGAGGAAATAATGTTTTATTTACTAAAATTGGTTTAGAAGCTCTGACAAGTTCCCTTCATTTCCTGTTTTTTGAACATTCAATTCCTGTTTTGTGCATCAGAAGATGAAAGGGAAGACAGGGAGGACGTCAGGTGTTCGACGAATGGCCTCACAGGGGTTGTTGTAAGTATCCTTCAAAGACAAACTCATAACATTTTTATTTATTCATTTCTTTATTTTTGTGAATGTATTCTCAAAAAGCATTCGGAATTTCCTAGGCCGAGCAAGAAGAAGAAGAAGAAAAGGAGGAAGTGAAACAAATAAGCAGCATCATAAATCCCACCCTAAGCACCCCATCAGATTTTGACGACGAGCTCTTGCCGGAATTTGAGAGCCTATTATCCGGCGAAATAGACTTCCCACTCCCCACGGACAAATTCTCATCAGCCACAGCAAAAGATCTGGAAAATGACCGAATATACGAAAATGAGATGGCAAACAATGAAAGCGAGCTTGTACACCTACGTAACCTCGTTAAAGAATTGGAAGAGCGCGAAGTAAAGCTCGAGGGGGAGCTTCTAGAATATTACGGCCTGAAAGAGCAAGAGTCGAGCATAGCCGAGCTACAAAAGCAGCTCAAGATCAAGACTGTCGAGATCGACATGCTTAATATCACGATAAGCTCTTTACAGGCCGAGAGGAAAAAGCTTCAGGAGGAGATTTCTCAAGGGGCTGCAGCCAGAAAAGAGCTCGAGCTAACGAAAAAGAAATTGAAAGACTTGCAGAAGCAGATTCAAATGGAAGCTAACCAGACCAAAGGCCAGCTTTTGCTGCTAAAGCAGCAAGTGAGTGGGCTTCGGGCCAAGGAGCAGGAAGCGTTTCAGAAAGAAGAGGAGGTGGAGAAGAAGCTGAAATCTGTCAAGGAGTTGGAGGTTGAGGTTATGGAGCTCAAGAGGAAGAATAAGGAGCTTCAGCACGAGAAAAGGGAGTTGGTTGTTAAGTTGGATGCGGCCGAAGCTAATGTCAAAGTGCTTTCAGACATCACGGAGGTAAATAGAAGTTATTAAACGCGTTTTGTGTATGAGGAAGTTTGTTGTAACATTGCTTCTCGTTAGCTGTTATTTATGATATGTATACGGATGAAAATTGAAAGCTTTGTTTAAACTTACAACTATGAACTGACTATATATGTAACTTGGACCACTATCATCCCTGTTAAAAATTTCTCTTACATTCCTGAAATGGCATTATACATATATATTTTTATTTTCAAAATTATTGTCTTACACAGCTGAAATGGCATTATGCATAGCAGATAATAGCATCACATGTGTAATAAAGCGCAGTGCTCACTTTTCATGCCAGGAAACAGTTCTCATTTGTTCTATTTCTTATATACACGTCCGTTTGTGTCTGTTTTCTTTTACATTGCTACTCTAGATTAGGCCTCCAAGAGTTCATCCTTATAACGGTAGTCATTTTGCAGCAGAAGAGAAAGGTAGTTTAGGATCAAAAGTTGGATTTTGTTTAAGCCAAAAAAAAAAAAAATAGCCTTTTCCACCTATGAGCTGATAATCTTTTTCTTCATCCACGTCTTCTCGATAGACCGAAATGGTGGCGAAAGTTCGAGAAGAAGCCAACACCTTGCGCCACATGAACGAGGACCTTGTGAAACAAGTCGAGGGCCTTCAGATGAACCGCTTCAGCGAGGTCGAGGAGCTCGTGTACCTCCGCTGGGTCAACGCCTGCCTCCGCTTCGAACTCCGCAACTACCAAAACCCCACAGGCAAAATCTCGGCCCGTGACCTCAACAAGAGCCTGAGCCCGCGTTCCCAGGAACGGGCCAAGCAGCTCATGCTCGACTACGCGGGCTCCGAGCGCGGCGGCGGAGGAGCTGACACTGACCTCGACAGCAACTTCGACAACATGTCCGTCGACAGCTCGGACTTGGACAACACTTCCATCGACAGCTCTACCAGCAGGCTCACCAAAAAACCCGGGCTTCTCCACAAGCTCAAGAGGTGGGGAGGCAGCAAGCCCAGAGATGGGCCCGAGCCCGGGCCCGGCCTGTTTTCTTCTCCTGTCAGGCCCAATAAGGGCCCTCTGGAGGCACTCATGCTGAGGAACGCGGGAGATGGGATGGCTATCACGTCGTTCGGGACAGGCGAGCAGGAAGACAATATTGCCTCGTCTTTCAAGGTAATGTCAATGTCAGTGGATGGTGTGGTGGACGAGAAGTACCCTGCGTACAAGGACCGACACAAGCTGGCGCTCGAGAGGGAGAAGCAGATCAAGGAGAAGGCCCAGCTGGCGAGGGCTGTCAAATTCGGGGATAATGTTAAAGCTGTCCTGCCCCCGAAACTCTCGCTCATCAAGGAGAAACCGGTTGTGGCTTCGCCTGGAGAATCTAACGACTTGTCGGTAGATTCTTCTTCGGCAGTCGTTAGCAAGATGCAGCTCACGCAGATCGAGAAGAGGGCTCCGCGGGTCCTGAGGCCGCCACCTAAGCCATCTGGAGGTGGGCCCGCAGGCCCTAATGTGAGTGCGTTGGGTTTGGGCCCGGGCGGGCCTCCCCTGCCGCCACCTCCACCACCTCCCGGAGGGCCGCCCAGGCCACCTCCGCCGCCGGGTACCCACCTGAGAGGGATTGGAGGGGAGAGAGTCCACCGGGCACCAGAGCTGGTGGAGTTTTACCAGACGCTGATGAAAAGGGAGGCAAAGAAGGATAGTTCGTCGGGACTTGTGGTGGCTGCCTCGTCTAACACGTCTGACGCGAGGAGTAATATGATTGGGGAGATTGAAAACAGATCGTCTTTCCTCTTGGCTGTATGTTTTGTATCCTTTTTTTTCTTTTCTTTTTTTTTTTTTTGGCAAAATTGCATATTAATACACCACCTTTCATGTTTTTGCAATTTAATCATCATATTTGATATTTTGCAAAT